TGAATTTCAGCAGACGAAGTATGATGACTTACAATATGGAAATGAGGTTTCCAAAACTTTTCAAGGTCTTTTGCCTCACTGTTGGGGGCAAAATAAGGTTAATGTGAGGGGAAAATATATATATATATAGGAATGCCTGAAAGTCACATAGCCGATTAAGACAAAAATTCAAAGCAGTTCAGAGGCAGGGATAAAGTTGTCAGGAAGGCAGGCTCTGAACTGCAGTGATCACTGAGTGGAGGGTGGGGTACTGGGGGGGGACACGGGAAGGGGAGGGTCGCTTAGCCCTGCATGGATTTACGTTTAGCATTCCAAGAAAGAACACTGGAGTTCGTTCTAATGCTGGCTTTAACTCAGTTTGATGTAGGCAGGCAGGGAGTCCAAGGGCCGGAGGCTAAGGACTGACTTCCTTCGTCAACTGGGGAAACCAGGTGGGCTTGGGAGGGTCTATGCTTTGCATCTCTGACTCCAGGGACAAGGCTGATCCTGGGAGTGGAGTAAGAAGTAGATTCGGGGAGCCCTTCAATCTTGGAGCGTTGGGACCATACATAGGGAGCAGGAATGCGGATGGGATTGTGAACAAGTCCAACAGAATGTGATGTGGGGGGTAGAGGGCTAGAAGTCAGCTTCTGTGAGGGCTCAGCGCCAGGCTGTGTGGGGGCAGGTCACGCTACAAACTCCCCAAGTGCTCACAGCCCACTGCAGTTCAGAGGAAAGGGAAGAAGGTGAACAGTTTGCTGGGTCCCCCTGTTCCCATGATCCAACATGGCGACCCTCAGGTATAACCTGCCCACACTCCCCAACCGCCCTGCCCTCAGTTACATCACTGTTAATAGGTACCAGCTTTCTGTTTCCTGGTGAAAGAACATTTTTTTTCTTTTTTGGTGTCAGTAATGATGATATTTTTTTTTTATGTTCCAGAAACAAAGATAAGAGTAATAAAAAGGTTTTTGTCAACCATCCTCCTCCTCCACTGATTAAACTTTAATAGTGGGGTTGAAGGAAACCTCATAAAAAAGACATGCTGGCCGGGCGCGGTGGCTCACGCCTGTAATCCTAGCACTCTGGGAGGCCGAGGTAGGCAGATTGCTTGAGGTCAGGAGTTCGAAACCAGCCTGAGCAAGAGCGAGACCCTGTCTCTACTATAAATAGAAAGAAATTAATTGGCCAACTAATACATATAGAAAAAATTAGCCGGGCATGGTGGTGCATGCCTGTAGTCCCAGCTACTCGGGAGGCTGAGGCAGCAGGATCGCTTGAGCCCCGGAGATTGAGGTTGCTGTGAGCTAGGCTGATGCCACGGCACTCACTCTAGCCTGGGTAACAAAGTGAGACTCTGTCTCAAAAAAAAAAAAAAAAGACATGCTGACAAGCAGCTCTCCAAGGCTTCATCCGGACTCCCCAACAGGAAAGTGCCTTGGTGATGGATTGGGGAGCAAGAGGACACCCCATAACGCAGACACCCCATGGGCAGACAACAGGCAATGGCTGAGACTGGGGAAGCACAATGGCTTCCCAGCGGTCTTGGTTCTTTATTTTAATATCCCCACCACAGGACATAGCAGGCGCTCGATAAGTGTTGAAGAAATGACTGAACACAACTTTTTAGGGCACTCGAATCCTTGTCTTTTAGTGTTTATTTACCCAAGCCTGTCCTCTAACACCCTAATACCATCCCTAATAAACAGTCGAGCTGTAATTACTTTCAACCAAGTTCTACCAGAGGAATTTGTGCTATCTGTGACTACTCAAAAACACCCCGACTCTTGAGATGTCAAATAAAGCCCACATACTATGGACTATTATGCATGCATTAGAAGAATGAGGTAAGCCAGGCTTTGGCTCAGGGCTAGACCTGACTTTGTGGGAAACACATGCCTGTTACTAGGCAGCCGCTACTCAGAGATCATCAGCTTTTACCCACTCTCATGACTTTTTTCATTCTGATATGTTAAAGAAATAGCTTTTCTATAGACCAGCAGTTACTTGTTAAAAAAAAAAATAAAAAATAAAAAAGAAATAGCTTTTCTCTGTCTCCATACCCAAAACACTGATTATCATAGCCGCTTGGAAACTTAGAAATCGTATAATCCATTTCTCACTTAATAGATAAGGGAATGGAATTGTAGAGTAGCTTAAGGATTAGCTCAAGGTCTCACTTGTGGTTATTAAATAGAATAGCTACCGCCCAAGAGGTCCAGCTCTCAGGCCACTGACATTTCTCCCACAAAGCAATGGCTTCTGGAACAGACGGAAGGGGGCAAAGGAGGGACGCTCATCAGACCTGTTGAAGCAAATCATTATGATTATTAGGTATAGACACAAATTTAAAAAGGAATACTAACATGAATACATTTCCAGATGTTATTGAATAAAAAAAAGGCTGCAAAATAGTACGTAGGGTATGAGACAGTTATAAATGGTTATGTGAACCAAAATGAACAGTGTACATTTTCTATGGACAAGGTGTGGATGAATGGATTCCATCCTGATAACAGTGTTCACCTCTGGGCAGGGCTCTGGGATCGGGGATGGTGGCCAAAGGAAAGTTTGTTCTTATCTGCATTGTATGAATTTTTATAAGGAGAATCTATCTATGCATTAATTGTTTAAGAATTAATTTAAAAGAGTAAATCTATATTTCTTGTTGCGCTCTATGTCACTCTGGTGGCTTTGTTGCTAACACTATGGATCATGCTCTGGAGACTCGGCCTGTCACCTTAATCCTAGTGGGAATGTCTAGATTAGTCCCAAAGCTCTCAGAGTCACAGTCTGACATACAGGGAAAGGAAAGAGAGTGTTTGTGGGTTTCTCTTCCCAAAAGGTGCTCCCTGCCCACTTCTTCACATTGATTGTCATTTCACACCTTGAATAGAATAATGATAATGATGATAATAATAATTGGATGTGTAAATACTACTAATAAATGGCAACAGCTATGATCCTTTGAGGACTAACTACCCCAGACAACTCTCCTAAGCACCTTCATCCATCATCACTTTCATTTAATCTTCATAATCACACTGTGAGGTGAGTACTGTCATTAGCACCATTATAGAGATGAAAAACCGAGGTGTGAAGAAACCAGTGAGCCTGATCTCAGCCACAGGGCTGGTAGGCAGAAGAGCCTGGACCTGAACCCAGGTGTCAACTCAAGTCTGTGCGGGCACAGGAGTCTGCAGTCCAGAGCTCGGGGACTATAGGAGGCCCGTGTCTATAGGAGGAGCACATCAGGCTGGGAAATACATTTTCATCTAAACCAGAAAGTGCTCCCTTTGGAGAGAGACCTTCTATCTAATCTGCTTCCTCCTGGCACCCCTTTGAGCCTTTTTGCTTAAGGTTTCAAATGCCCCTGGGCTACTGAGTCAAGTGCATGATTCTATCAGGTGATGTGTAGCGAGAGGAAAACATTCTCCTTTGGAGAGTAAAAAACCATGTACTATCATGTACAAGCCTAGCAATAATTTCTCAAGTACCAGTTCATTTTATTTAAAACAACAACAGTAAATATAAACAGCAAGGAACCGATTTTGATAGAGGTAAGTGCTGGCCTGCCGGGGGCCAATCACCAGTCCCTTTATTCTAGTGTCAGTATTTACTTTGGATGTGTCAGTTTTGTTCCTGAAAGGTACAAAGAAAGCATAAAGTAGCAAACTTTGAAATGATCTTTATAGTTTGTGTAGAGAAGGGTACTTTCCAGGAAGCTGGTCATCTTATACTAAATGACACTTTTCTCCCTGCCTCCTCCCCACCTCTGTTCAAACTTCAGGAATTATTTCATTATTTCTCTATTCATAACTAAGGCATCTCTGATTCATCACTGAAAATTTGAGTTACACTGCAGAAAATCTTTGGTTAAATATGTATGCATACACTTACATATATGTGTATGTACATACTATACATGCATATCGATGTATATAAACATATCTATAGCATGTTTATCATATGTATATACTTTAATTGGGAAAATTTGCAGTACTTGGGAGCCATTTGATGGACTTCAAAATTCTTCTGTGCTCCAGTAATGTCAAGCTTTTGCCCAAAGATAAATTGGCTTTTTTTTTTTTTTTTTTTGAGACAGAGTCTCGCTTTGTTGTCCAGGCTAGAGTGAGTGCCGTGGCGTCAGCCTAGCTCACAGCAACCTCAAACTCCTGGGCTCGAGCGATCCTTCTGCCTCAGCCTCCCGAGTAGCTGGGACTACAGGCATGAGCCACCATGCCCGGCTAATTTTTTTTTTTTATATATATATCAGTTGGCCAATTAGTTTCTTTCTATTTATAGTAGAGACAGGGTCTCGCTCTTGCTCAGGCTGGTTTTGAACTCCTGACCTTGAGCAATCCGCCCGCCTCGGCCTCCCAAGAGCTAGGATTACAGGCGTGAGCCACCGCGCCCGGCTAAATTGGCTTTTTTGACTCCTGCTGAATACTGCCTAGAGAAACCCCTTGTAGCTTTCAGGGTTGCATTAATATTTCCGTATTCTTTGTGAATACTTTCCTTTTGCAAAGAATAACTCCACCTGCTCCCTTTCCCCACATGTTTGCATCAAAGGTGAAGCTGGGACGTGTCCTCTCTCTCCTGAGCCCCTGGCTCGGGACCTGGTGCTGTCACCCCATTTCCGCACTGGTAAACATAGCACATGGGAAATGGGTTTCTCAAGTGACTGCTCTGTGCCCACCCTGTCCCTGGCCTTGAGAGAGGGTTGTTGGTATGGCGACGTGAGCCCTATTGTCGTGGGGCTCAGGTCACACCCTGTCAGCCTGCGGGACTCAGGGTCCCCCCAGCTCCCCAGTTACCAGGACTACAGCACTTCCAAACCGGTGAGGAGCTCTGACAAATGTGTGGAACGTATTTCTGCAAACAAAGCCATGTATTTTAGGCTGAAGCGTTTACAGCAAAATTTAAATAATTTTATCTAGAACGTGTCACATGGAATGCTTTCATTTTATCTTTTTGGATTTCTTGGGTAGAACATTTATAAAGCAAAAGCCTCATTATCTTGGATTTCTCAACAGACTCTCTGCCATAAACTGCAGACAAGATGCATGGACTGAACACAGAGGCAGTCTGAGGAATCCGAGCCTGTCTGAGAGAAATATTTTAGGTCATTCCTGAAGTGAATCAGGGCCTTGAGGGTCCTTTACTTAATTCTGTCTCGGGATAGAATTTTTTCTGTTTTTTTTTTTTTTGGTTGGGCCACCCTGCCACTAAATGGTGTCCATTATATTATGAGCCAAAGACCTGGAAATGTTCCCAATCGCACCCTCTACCACCCAAGAGAAAGTACTGGCTCCTGGAATTCCCATAAAAATGGAATACTTTTGGTCAGGTTGGCATGGCTCTTACAAGGCCAGTCCACCTAGGAGGACCAGCCCAAGACTCGTGCTTGGCATTAGCTTTTAGCAGGACTCATCTGTTTAGGGGCTGGCCGGTGGAGTTGGCCCCGGGGGATTGAGACACTGCACGTGGGAGTGAAAGCTTCGAAGGAGCAGTGGGGAAAGACAGAGACACTAGCAGCCTTGCCCTGGGAAGGCCCGGAGAGCCCCGGTACTAAGGGGGCAGTCTCTGAGCACGGAGATCTGGAGACACGTCACCCACTTGACTCTGCGGAGGGCCAGCTCTTACTTGCCTCTAAGTGATTTCAGACATGTTTCAAAGCACAAAATAAAACTTTCTTTTTTTTTAAGACTCTTAGTGAATGTTCCTGTATGTGTCCTAGGTTTTTACAGGACAAGGACAGTTTGGACACATCTTGTCCTTGTCTGCACCCCCAGGACTGGCTGCACCCCGTGTCCCCCTCTCCCAGTGCAGCGACCTATGGGCCTAGAAGGGCCCCCGCCAGACCACATTCTGCTGGGCAGTCACGGGTGGCAGAAACTGCTGGCCTCTCTTTCGACAGCCCGCAGGAAACATTTGCACCTCCAGCACTTTCTGCACAAAGCGCTCCATGGGAGCAACACCCGGGGGTGGCTTAGAAGCTACGCTGCTTTGAACTTCATCTTTCTCTACGGCCTCTGGGGGTGCAGTGAAAGACCCAAAGCTTCCTGCTGTCTACGTTCGGTAAGCAAACTGCTGCAGTCTTAGAAAGTCCCTATTCAAACTCTATTTAGAAGTAGAATAGTCATTGGCAGAAGCAAGCACTTGCTTCTGTGTATCAGTGAAAATGCGATGAAGTTTTTATTTATAACTTGCGTTAGTTATAAGTTACCAGACTTAATACATTTACCCTGCTGAAAAATTTAAGTTGAAAAAATAACATGTTGAAGAAGGACCATTGTTCCTGGGTTGAATGACAACACAGATAGCTTAGTCAAAACATATCTTTAACCTTTTTTGTGTGTGTGCTTAATCCGTGGGTCTCTGATTACAGCTGGCTGAATGTCCTCTGCACCCCCCAAGTAATTAGTTTTGAGTGTTAAAAATCGGCCTCTATTTGTCGAGTTGACAATTGCCATGACTTTATTCTTATGCAATAAAGCCCTTACAATAGATCACACAATCAACTTTCTGTGATTGAAATAAGTGAAATGTAAATGGTTTGGGAGGAATCTAATTGGAATTAAGTTAAAGCACATTGACTTTTTCCTGTTTAGGACCTTATGATATAGTAGTTTGAATGTGTTTTTCATTATTTGAAACCTTTTTCTCCTAGCATGTAGTTATGGTGGGAGAATTAAATGATACTGAAAATTCTGGAAATGAGGAGAAACAGACAAAAACTTCAGGCATCAGGAAAATGACAAGAGAGAAGAGTCTTTTAGGTAAGCCCCTGGTTAGACGCAACTTTAATAAGCTCCACTTGAGGAAGGGGTACATGGCCTCCATGGGTAACATGGCTGCATTCACGTCACTCTTAAGTTGCACAGTCCCTCTGAGCATAGTGGTCTTAATTAAGTAAAATAGGAGGTTAAAAAACTAAGCAAAGATAATCAAACAACATTTGCCCTTTTACATAGCAATGTTCTAGAAAAATCTTACTTGATTTCACTAATTTAAATGTCACAAAGCAATTAGCTTTGTTTTTCCCATCTCTCTCTCCTAGAGTGTGGGTGCACTCTAATTTTTAAAAATTATATTTATAAAAAGGTGTTGGCTATTTCAGATTCACAATTAGTATTATATTTGCCACAGCTGTGGGTAAAAATGTCATCTCCTGTTTATTTTCTCACATTGTTACTTGTAAATTGTGAGTGTGATGTGTGGGGCTGTTTGGGGAAGGGGGTAAAGTTAAGACCCCAAACCAAGAAGCCTTAGAGAGACGGCACTGTACTTCACATTAAATGTCCCCTGTCCTCTGCCTTCCTGTCTAAATAAGAGCATCATCTGGGCCGGGCGCGGTGGCTCACGCCTGTAATCCTAGCACTCTGGGAGGCCGAGGTGGGAGGATCGCTCAAGATCAGGAGTTCAAAACCAGCCTGAGCAAGAGCGAGACCCCATCTCTACTAAAAATAGAAAGAAATTAATTTGCTAACTAAAAATATATAGAAAAAATTAGCCGGGCATGGTGGCACATGCCTGTAGTCCCAGCCTACTTGGAAGGCTGAGGCAGAAGGATTGCTTGAGCCCAGGGGTTTGAGGTTGCTGTACATGGGAGCTCAATCCCAGCCAAGTTTCCAAGTGGGAATTCTTACAATACTTTTGGAAGATATGTGGATGAGGCTGTTGAGTGACTTGCTACAGTCTTTAACTTGAGAGCTTTATTCAAATCTTCCCAGGGGCTCTGCTGGGCTCACATGGGTTGGCTAGTGAAACTTGGTAGCTGCAGAGGGAAAGAGTAGTGAATCTTCCTTTTTGATTAAAGGAAGAAGTAAAACAAGATCGCAAGTACCATTTGTCCCATTTAAATGGAAACTTCTCCAACCACAAAAACACATGTTGGGGATAATAAAGGAAACTGAATAAGGACTAGCTCTTAGATGATATCAGAGAATTAGTAATATCTCTAGGAGGTACAATGGCGTTGTGGTTATAAAGGAAAATGTTCTTATTTTTAGGAGACATGTGCTGAAAGTATTATGACATCTACAGCTTATTTTCTACATATATGGAAGATACACATATATACAGAGATAAAGCAAATATGGTAAATATTAGAAGTAGTTAAATTTAGACACTGTGTGTACAGGAAGTTATTGAACCAGTCATTAAAGACCTATGTATCAGTTGGAAATGCTTCTGGCTGAAAATAAAAAACAGTAAAACCTCAATTAATAGGAGTTTAAATGTTAAGAACATTCATTCTTTACTAAACAAGAAGTGCAGTAGGCATTCATTAAGGCTTGCTGCAGCCACTCAGCAATGCCGTCAAGACCCCATCTTGTTTGGTTCCTCTGCCTTGTCATTCTCACAGATTGACTTCTGCACTATCGATTCATGATTATAAGACAGCTGCTGCAGCGCTAGGCATCACAGTTACAGGAAAGGCAGAATGTGGGTGCACAAAGCAAAAACAAAAAAAAAAAAGGCACAAGTAAAAGCAAACTTTCCTCTTGCACTTGATTCATTTATCAGAAAGCAAAATCTTTCCCAGAAGCCCCCAGCATCTTCATGGCTAGAACAGTCTTATGGCCAATCTTACCCACAGGGGAGTCTGGCAAATGAAATCAATGCAAGGGATTTAGATTCATTGTGACTCACCCCCCTTGGGCTGTGGATGCATTGCCTCCCCGAATAAACTCCACGTTCTGTTAGCAAGAAAAAGGAGAAAAACAGCAGCTACTTGTCACTTGCTAAACAGGCGCCCTTTTCCTCTAGAAGGGAAATTGGTCTGTTTTACTAGATAACCTCAATTGTTTCACTGGATAACAGAAATGATTCTTAAAGGAAATTAAAACTAAAACTCACTCTGTACCATATTATGTTGATGTTTAACAGAAAGAGAAATGGTGCCCAGAAGGAGACTTTAGGTTTCCTATCTTTTTTAGTCCAGTGAAACAGAAACTTTTTAACCATCCATGAAAATTATTTTTTGCTTCACTTTCAATTTTGGTAATACATTTCAATATGCAGTTTACTTTTAAAGATTGTTCTTATTGTGATAGCCATTATGCAGCAGAATCGGATATATATTACTACTTCTCATATTCTTAGTTGCAATTTGTGGAGTGTCCATTATTTATAAGGCATTATAACACATCCTCTCATCTATGCAAGAGGGATGTGCCTGGCTGTTTACAAAAAGCCCCAAATTAAGCCTGAGTCATTAGACTTAATAAAGAAAGAGAAAACTGAAAGCTTTGAACAACTGTTCTAATTTCTACTTCCTCCCCAGCCAGTGTGAGGCCACTATAATAGGAGACTCTTGACATCTGGGCTCTTAAAATAGAAACCTATTTATTGGTTATAACAAGTAATAGTCATCACTATAGTTCTCTTCTGTCCCTTTTACTATCCCGTGGTCCAATAGTAGGCTTTCTTCCAAAAAGGATGCTGCGCCGGGCATGGTGGCTCACGCCTGTAATCCTAGCACTCTGGGAGGCTGAGGCGGGCGGATTGCTCCAGGTCAGGAGTTCGAAAACACCCTGAGCGAGACCCCGTCTCTACTAAAAAAAGAAAGAAATTAATTGACCAACTAAAAAAATATATACAAAAAATTAGCCGGGCATGGTGGCACATACTGTAGTCCCAGCTATTTGGGAGGCTGAGGCAGAGGATCACTTGAGCCCAGGAGATTGAGGTTGCTGTGAGCTAGGCTGACACCACGGCACTCACTCTAGCCTGGGCAACAAAGTGAGACTCTGTCTCAAAAAAAAAAAAAAAAACAACAAAAACACAAAAGGACGCTGCACGCTCCTTGTAGATGTATTGGAATGAATTCTCAGACCAGTCATAGCCAGCTAACCATCACTGGGGGGCGCAGTCATGCATCCTGGGAAGGCATAGAAGGACATGTCAAAGCGAGACTCTGTCTCAAAAAAAAAAAAAGAGGTTATTGAGTATGCAGAAGCCGCTCATCACCGTTCAGTTGTCTGATGCTTGGGCGGCTGAGGTCTACCTTATAACTCTGCTTGACTGCCAAGAGATGCTCTGATGGGTTGCACTGTTCTCTAGAGTAGAAGCAGAGGAGGTTGACCGCACTCCAGGTCTGCCGTGCCTCTTGGCTATTTGTTGTTTCAGGTAAGCCTAGTAGAAGAGAAGCTCAACAGAGACAAGGCTGGTTTAGAGCCTCAAATCAAGAGGCTACAGAGTGGTGGGCTAAAGTGATGGTAGCGGGTCGGCCACTGGGAAACTAGATAAGGGTGTCTGCATGGGTGGACATGTCAGGAGAAGGGCCAGAAGAATGTATGAGCGTCCAGGTCAGGAGGTGAGATTTAGATCAAGGCCTAGCAAATGAACAGAGAGCAGACCAGTACCGGAGTGGGGCTTGTAGGGCCTTTTACTGGATCTCTATTCGTTCATGTAACAAATCTGTTTTGACCGTGTGCTATGTACCAGGAACTGTTCTTGGTACTGGGAATATGGTAGTGAACAAACCAGATGAAGGTCTTTCCCCTTGTGCACTATATTCTCCATGTAGTTCGCAATTTGTTTCCCCACTTACATTCTAGTGGGGATTCTAGATTACATTCTAGAACAAATTATAAACAAGATACAAAATAAATTGTAAGTAAATTATACAGTATGTTAGTGACAAATAGTAAGGGAAAAAAGCGCCAAAAGGAGATAAAGGAATATATACATGCTGTGCTTATGACATGGTTGTCACTAGTCTTGTGTGGCTATTGATAATTAAACTACTTAAAATTAAAAATTCAGTTTCTCAGTCATACCATCCACATTTCCAGTGTTTGAGAGACACATAGCAGCTATCCTATTGGACAGTGAAGATGTAGTTTCATCATTGTAGAAAGTTCTATTCGTCAGTGCTGGTTTAGAGGGTGTAGTTTTTAGATAGAGTGGGTAAGGAAGGCCCCACTGAAAAAATAACTTTTTAAAATTTTTTAAATTTAATTTTATTTTTTAGAGACAGTCTTGCTCTGTCACATAGGCTGGAGTGCAATGGTGTGATCACAGCTCTCTGTAGCCTCAAATTCCTGGGTCCAAGTGATCCTCCTGCCTCAGCCTCCTAAGTACTGGGACTACAGGTGTGCACCACCACACCTGGCTGATTTTTAATTTTTTTTGTAAAGACAGAGTCTCATTATGTTGCCAACGCTGGTCTCAAACTTCTGGCCCCAAGCAATCTTCCCACCTCAGCCTCCCAATGTGGTGGGATTATAGGTGTGAGCTACCATGCCCAGCCCAAAAAATAACTTTTAAGTACAGACCCAATGCAGTTGATGGGGCTGACGAGGTGGGTCACGTGCACCCCTGGGGGAAGAGCATTCCAAACAGAGGGAACAGCCAGTGGACAGGTCCAGCCATGGGAATGAAGCCCGTGGCTGGAGTGTGATGGATGGGGTTGAGTCGTAAAAGATGAGGTCAGAGAAGTCAATGGAGGGAAGCAGTTCCATAGGGCCTTTTAAGGACTTTGGGCTTTGCTCTGGGTGAGATGGGAAGCGTTAGAGGTTTTGAGGAGAGGAGTTACATGATCTGACTTGGTGTTTTAATAAGACCATTGGGGCTGCTGTGATGAAGGTAGGTTGAAAGTGGGCAGAGGAGGGAGGTACATGAGGGGATGTCACAGTAATCCAGGTGAGAAGTGAGGGTGTCTAGGCTGGTAGCAGTAGTGGTGGGGAAAAGGAATCAGGTTCAGGTTATTTTTTTTGAAGGTTCAGGCAACATGGTGGCTGATTGGGGTACGGGGTATAAAAGAGAGAAGAGTCTAAGGTTTTGGGGTCTGAACAACAGGAAGGATGGTGTGTTCATTTAGTATGATGGGGAAGAGAAGATGGGGTGGAACAGGTTTGGATGGGAGAAGCTCAGGAGTTCTGTTTCAGACGTGTTCCATTTAGTGTACCTACCCAGCACCCCACCAAGGCTGAGCAAGCGGTTATGTACAGGAGTCTTAGAGTTCAGATGAGAGGTGCTCGCTGGACTTACACATTTGGGACTTGTCAGCCTTATAAATGGTATTTTAAATGATGAGGCTGACTGTCATTAGAGGAGTGAGTTTAGATGGAAACTAGAGGAGGTCTCGGGCTGGAGACCTGGGGGCTCTAAAGATTGGAGGTGGGGGAAGGAGGGATTAAAAGGAACAGCCACCCGAGCGGTCGGCATCCCCCAACTTCTTAAAGGGACAAGTGGTGTTCAGCCACCCAAGATTGAACAATAACAGGTCTGTGATGCCCTTTAAAACATTTTTAAAAAATGATTAAAAAAAAAAAAAAGGAACAGCTAGTGAGGTAGGAGAAAGATCAGAAGACGTGAGTGTTGGGGGCCTTGTGGAGAAGGTGTTTCACTATGGAGGAAGGGAGCGATTTGCCAAGTGCTTAGAACACACAGAATTGACGACTGGATTGACCTGTGTAGGGGTCACGGATGACCTTGAGAAGATGTTGGGGGCGGGGTGAAAGTTGTCCAGAGCGGACTGACATTTGTTTTTTTTTTTTTAAACAAATGCCCTAAGAATCCCATAACTTGTTGAGTAAACCATACACTTTTCTATTGCCTGCATTTTTATTCAGCACTGGGCTACTCTCTAAAAGCAAATTCATGCTAAATAGTATTTTACTTTCTCTGAGTTACTGGCAAAATTTGCTTTAAATATATATATATATATATTACTATTTAATAATGCTTACGGTTTGAATATTTGTGTTTTAGGAGCAACTTTGATCTACCTCATGAGTCCAAGATTTTTGATTTATGTAAGCTGTGCCTTATCGATGTGGGTAAGACGAATCAAAATGAAATTAATGTTTTTGGATGGTTAAGAGAACTGTAATATTAATGATATTAGAATGTCTCAAACTATGTGTGTGTATTTTTATTTAAAGATGTTTGAATGATCAAATGTAGAACAAATAGAAAAAAAGTGCACGCATAATATATGTGTAGGAACAATAATAATAAATAATTATGAAGTGAATACCATGAAACCACCATCGGGTGAAGACCTAGGAAGTAGCCAGCACCCAAGATGCCCCTCACGGAGCCATTCTTAGTCACACCCCTTCCTCACCAATGAGAAGGAGCCATGAGCCTCACTTTAATGGGATTCACTTCCTTGTTTTCTTCATAGTTTTATCACTGTGTAGGCATCCCAAAATTATGTACTGTTTGAACTATATAGAAATTAAATCCTACCATATATATTCTATTATGTGTTGCTTCTTTTGCTTGACCTTATGTTTGTAATACCCAGTTATTGCATGCAGCCCTGGCTTGGTACTTTTCATTGTTGTATAATATTTCATTGTATAATATGTCAAAACTGATTTTATCAGTCCTTCCGAAGAGCCAGGTTTTGACTTTATCAAGTCTTGCTATTGTGTCTTTATTTTTCTAGTTCATTAATTTCTGCTCTTACCCTTATTACTGCCTTTCTACTACTTTCTTTGGGTTCAATTTGCTGTTCCTTTTCTAACTTCTTAATGAATTCAGCCTTTCCTTTCTGATATTTGCATTTAAGACTACACATTTCGCTTTAAACAGCACTTAAACTACATCTGACACGTTTTGATATGCTTTGTTAAACAATTTTATAATGTCCTTTGTGATTGCTAGTTTGACTTATGGATTATTTAGAAATGTGTTCTTTAATCTATGAACATGAAGATTTTCTTCTTACTAATTTTTAGCTTAACTGCCTCGAGTTCAGAGAAAATCTTCTATGTGATTTCAATGCTTTGAAATTAAGATTTGCTCTATGATATATTACATAATCAAATTTTCATGTGCTTGAAAAGTATGTGTATTCTGAAGTTGTTGGGTACAGTGTTTTTTATGTGACCTTTAGGTAGAACAAACACACACACACACTTAAAAATTTATATTATTTGCTTGTTCTATCAATTACCAAGAGGGAGGTGGTGAGTTAAAATCTCCCACAATGATTGCCTATTTCTCCTTCCAATTCTACACATTTTTTAGGTCATATAATTTGAGCCCTTGTTATTAGGTACATACAAAATTAGAATTTTTTTATCTTTCCAATGAGTTGCAGTCTTATCATTATGAAATGTTTCTCTTTATTTCAAGTATGGCTTTTTGCCTTAAAGTCTATTTTGTCTGGCATTAATTTAGTGACAAAGATTTCTTTTGGTTAGTGTTTGCATGGTATATCATTATCCATTGTTTCTTATTTATTTTTGTTTTAATGTTTCTTTTTAAACAGCACATAATTGTATTTTTAAATTCAATTTGTCAATCTTTATCTTTTAAGTTGAACATATAGTCCATTTATACTTAGTAATAACTAATGATATATGTAAGCTAAATCTACCATCTTATTTTGTGATTTGTGTTTTCTATTTGGCCTATTATGTGTTTCTTTTTTTCCTTTCTCGTCTCCTCTTCTTACCATCCTTCCCCTCATTTTGTCTTTCTGTGTTTCATTAGGCTGTTTCCTCAGCTAAATCTATAGTTAACTGATTAAAGATTGGGTTATGTCTAATCTGCTAGGTTAAAGATTGGGTTATGTCTAATTTGCTATGAAACCTATCAATTGAGTTTTTAATTTTAGTTTCTGTTGTTATGTTTTTCAGTCCTAAAGTTCCTATTTAGTTCCCTTTCAAACTGCCCGTGTCACTTATAGTTTCCAATTCCCTGTTCAGATTATTAGACTTGGCATTTATTTCTTTAAATATAGTATTATTAATACTATTTTCCAACCAGTGTCTTGATAATATAAATATCTGAAGTTTTGATAGGTCTGTTTTAGTTATCTCTTATTTATCATAATCTTGCTCATGGTGCTTCATTTCCTTGTCTGACAGGTTATCTTTGGCTATGTGCTGGACATTGAATTTAAAAATTTTTGTAGGTGTTCTTTGAAGCCTAAGATAATGGCATCTTCCTTTAGAAAGAATTTTAACTGGCTTCTACCAGATACATAGTGGACACTAGCCATTTGGGAACACTTTAACCCAAGTTCAAGGCTTGAGGTTTCCCGGACCATCCAGATGAGGTACAACTGGACTATAAGTCCATACAACAGTTGTTTTGCTTCAGGTTTACCCTTTTTCTTACATGGAAAGTTTAGTTACCTGAAGTAACTAAAGTGGAAACTAGTTTATCTTAGTCTCCATCTTTGGTAGCATAGATTTCTATCATCTGACTTTCGGAGGCCACCAAAACTGCTGTTGTATTTCACTGCTGTTTTTTCCTGAATCAACAGATGTCCTCAGGGCATCCAGGGCTTATTTTGGGGGGTTCTCAGGTTCTCCCAAGTATTTATCTGATATTTTCTCATTAGCTTCTTGACTCTTTGATGCTCTTAAGATTTTAAAATATATCCTCTCCAGCTTTTTAAATGCATAGCTCTATTGCATAAAAATAAAGTTATGGATGTACTGCATAAAAGTACAATTTTTCTTTTTTTTTTTGAGACAGAGTCTCACTTTGTTGCCCAGGCTAGAGTGAGTGCTGTGGCATCAGCCTAGCTCACAGCAACCTCAAACTCCTGGGCTCAAGCAATCCTCCTGCCTCAGCCTCCCGAGTAGCTGGGGCTACAGGCATGTGCCACCATGCCCAGCTAATTTTTTCTATATATGTATTAGTTTGCCAATTAATTTCTTTCTATTTATAGTAGAGATGGGGTCTCGGTCTTGCTCAGGCTGGTTTCGAACTCCTGACCTCGAGCAATCCGCCCGCCTTGGCCTCCCAGAGTGCTAGGATTACAGGCGTGAGCCACCGCGCCCGGCCAAAAGTACAATTTTGACATTCTGTTTTTAAACCCTGCATATTACATGTCCTTTGGGAGAAATGCATCCTTCTGGATTTTAACTTTGTTCCTTCTTTTTAGGTCAATGATTAACACATGCTTTGCTTCTACTGACTTGCAGGGAGACCGAATGTGGCACTTTGCCATGTCTGTGTTCCTGATAGAATTATATGGACATAATCTTCTTCTATCGGCAGTGTTTGGCTTAGTGGTGGCTGGATCTGTATTAATATTTGGGGTCTTAATTGGTGATTGGATCGACAGGAAACCAAGAAATAAAGGTAATACTCTTAACTATGGCATACATAATCAAATGCTACCTTATGACCTCACTAGCTTTTGTAGGGGGCTATGTAGTGAAATAAAATGATAGATATGAACTTAACAGCAACACAGCATAACTTATAAACTCTAGAAAGAGTTATACAGCTTTATGTCATCATGCTCTGGTGCTATGTTTAACATATTTTAATGTAGTTTTTGGATTTTTACTAAGTATAGGTTTTTAATATTAAATTCCTGAAAAAACATCCTTTCTTTTTAATATTCTGATATTACCTATATATAACATACCTGTGTTATTTTTATTAAGGACAGTATCTATGTGTAAAAGATATCTTTTGTACCAGGTAATCTGTCAGAACGAGTAATTAATATCTGGAGACTCATTTGTTCAAATGTAGATCTACTTTTAGCTTTTGGCTGTATCTCCTTAAGCTTCCTTTGTCCAATAAGAATGCAGGCTATCCTAGGTTTTTCGTATTCTTTTCATTACTAGTCAACACGATTGTGTTCATTCCACCTAGGAGACTTGGAAAGGCATTCTCTGAAGCCACATCACTGAAAAGGCTACCTTATTTAAAATCTACAGTGTTGGTCCTTAGGCCAAACTGGTAACTTCAGTTACAAATCCAATCTGGAACAGTGTGATGTAGCAGTGGAAAATGTTAAGTCCCTTGACTTACCTAGAATCCAGCCTTCCATATCATCTTTCTCTGATGCTTTCATTCCCTTGTAAAGTCCAGATTTTTTTTTTTCTTGTGGTTGCAAAGGCTTTGCCTTTAGTGAGTGCAAGAGCCTACTTTTTCCTCTTACTGAAGCCTGTGATTGCTCATGAAAGTGCTAACTCTGGTTGCCACAGGATTTGACCAAATGCAGCTTTAGTCTGTATTCAGTGATGATGTAGTTGTGACCCGCCTCTTAAAACCAAGAGTAAATATTGGGCTGGGGTGTTTCCATTCACAGTTGCTCACGCCTCCCTCTTCACTCAGAACGCCTCTGTCACCGCCTGCTGCATCGTCCTGATGCTCGTGTTCTCCTACAGGAGGGAGATGGAACAAATCTGGCACGGCTGGTTGACGGTGAGTGTCTCCCTCCCGCGCCACCGGCGCGCGTGTGTCGTGGACACAGACCTGCGTGTCCCTCGGGGGAGCGTTCTCTGGGCAGCCCTGCCCACCTTCTCTTAGAGTTCTCCTCTCCCCTAATCTGTGGAGCCGAGCTGAGGATCCCACAGACATGCATGCGGTGGAACAGCAGAGCCTGCGTCTGCAAGGTACAAATTAGCATTGGCACTGGCTCGGAGGCACTGACCGGGTGGGAGAAGAAAACACTTAGCATTCACGCAGTCGCAGTTGGCTCCAAACCTACAACGCACCTTTTTCTCACAAAGGTCTCTGCGTTCACGTAGCTGTTCCTTGAGCTGTCACATAAGTACCTGTGTGTACCCCAGCGGGCCGGGGAAGCAGTGATAAGCTTCCATTCCTATTCTGGGGTTCCAAAATCCCTTTCCCCTCCCTGGGCAGGTGGCCTGCTACGCGGTGGTGACCACGCTGGCAGCCTTGGCGAACCTAGCCAGCACCGCACTGACCATCACCATTCAGAGGGACTGGATCGTGAGCCTCACGGGTGGCAACAGAGCCCAGCTGGCTGGTGAGCAGTACCACCAGGGCCAAGAGTGTTTTCCGACCAGCTGAGAAGCACAGAGCTGCCCGGCCAGGCAGGGCGATGAGAGAGGCAGGAGAAATAGCCTTTAAGAGAATGTTATTTCAGGCCGGGAGTGGTGGCTCACCCTATACATGTATGACCTAACTCTTGGGTATGCTACAAGATATGGACATGGCGTACAATTCTGCTCACTAGGATCCAGGAGTTAGCTCCAAATATAACTGAGTCAGAGATGAGACCGTCCATATCCCATACTCTACTTCCATATTAAATAACACTAAGCTATAACAAGGTAAAGAAAATAATCTGGTCAACATTAATGATATAGATTAATAATTCAGACCGGTGCATCTACTGGATCCGGATGCTATATAGCTGTAAATTCCAGCTTCAAGCCAGTGAGGACTTGATAGGCAATGGAGAAATCAGATATACTGGAAAACAGCCACTAAGAGTTTAGAAGAGTTGCATCCGTGAGCTTATATGAGACATGATATGCGAAGACGCGCTACGTAATGTACAGAACAAACTAGGGCAAACAGATGGATAATAAATGCTCTGTCTCGACAAAAACAAAAAAAAATAATAAAAATACTACGAAGATAACAAGTCAGTTGTTTGGATATAAAATATACAACCAGAGGAGTTGCTCGCCTGCACAGTTAGCTCAAGGGCACGAGTGGTCCTATATCCTTTCATCACAATATATGACGTTCTCTCCAAGTGCATGGTAAGTTCTTGAGGCAGAGACATTCTTGAACCTGAGACAACAGGATTACATTCACAAGTACAGTTAACCCATATTCGCTCTTCGACACATGATAAGTATGTTAAAAGATGAGTGATCTGTTTATCTAAGCTAAACAAACAACCATCAACATGGAACAGCTACCCTAGCTGATAGATCCTCCAGAAAACATACTGCACTTTCCGGAGAGAAGCCTTTTAAACACACCACAGAAGTTTCTGGGCAATTTTAGACCTGGAAAACAAGTGAATTAAAAGATTTCTTAATTCTGGGCAGTGATAGGCTTCATTTAAAAAAAAAAAATCCTGGCTGGGCGTGGGTGGCTCATGCCTGTAAGGCCGAGGCAGGGGAGGATCGCTCAAGGTCAGGAGTTCGAAACCAGCCTGAGCAAGAGCGAGACTTTATCTCTACTAAAAATAGAAAGAAATTAATTGGCCAACTAATATATGTAGAAAAAAATTAGCCGGGCATGGTGGCCCATGCCTGTAGTCCCAGCTACTCAGGAGGCTGAGGTAGAAGGATCGCTTGAGCCCAGGAGTTTGAGGTTGCTGTGAGCTAGGCTGACAACCACGGCACTCACTCTAGCCTGGGCAACAAAGCAAGACTCTGTCTCAAAAAAAAAATCCTGGCTGGGCACGGTGGCTCAGGCCTGTAATCCTAGCACTCTGGGAGGCCGAGGTGGGTGGATCGCTCAAGGTCAGGCATTCAAAACCAGCCTGAGCAAGAGCGAGACCCCATCTCTGCTAAATATAAAAAGAAATTAATTGGCCAACTAAAAATATATACAAAAAATTAGCTGGGCATGGTGGCACATGCCTATAGTCTCAGCTACTTGGGAGGCTGAGGAAGCAGGATTGCTTGAGCCCAGGAGTCTGAGGTTGCTGTGAGCTAGGCTGACACCACGGCACTCTAGCCAGGGCAACAGAGTGAAACTCTGTCTCAAAAAAAAAAAAATAAAATCCTTAAATGTGACCATTGATTAGTCTGAAAGTAGGAATAGAATTTTTAAAAAAAATAATGGAGCTAAATGAAAGACTCTGGCATCTTCTTTGTTTTTCCTTCCATTTATAAAACTTGGATCATTCACATTGCGGTATATTCAAATTGCCAACTTAAAGCCAGCTTGTCCTACTCTATATTTGTGCAATCGGTACACTCTGCTAGCAAATGTTCATGAGAGTTGATAGCCAAGATAAAGGAAGCTACTAAGGAGGAATCTATTAAAATTATGCCTTACAAAGAGTAGAAACCCCTTATAATCATCTTTTCTTTTAAACTGTACTTATTTGGATGCATTGCGGCTTAAATAACACCACCCAAAATAAAACAGCTATGTTAGTAAAAGCCTGGTGGCATGATGTCTTAAGTGCTCTCTGTCTCTGGGTGAAGAATATCTTCCTATTCTCTATTAATTAATTATAAATAAATCTAAAATAAAAGCAGATCTAAAATAAATCTAAAGATTCTGGTTGAAGTTCAGTACCATTTAAAAAATGATTTGGTAAATATATTCTTCCGTGAACGTGGAAGAGTTAGGACAATACATTTCTGAGTCAGCCTGCCTGGGTTTGAATCTCATCTCCACCTTTCTGACCTTGAGCAAACAAATTCACCTCTTTGTGTCTCAGTTTCCTAATTTGTAAAAGGGGAACATTACTGACTTCTGAGAGTTGTTGTGAAGATTGAGATGAATATATGTAGAAAGTGTAGAACTCTGTGCCTGGCACAAAGTAAGTATTTGACTAATTCTGTCCTCTACCCTCCCTTCGTCACCTCCCTCCCCGTCAACATGTTAGTTATAACAATGGCTATTAATATTATTGTTGCTGTTAAGATGGCGGGTTGTGATGGGAGAGAGTGCTGAGATAGATGGGAGTTAGAATAATTAGCTCCAAGTAACCTCATTTCTCTATGCCTCAGTTCACTTATGGGTTAATTGTCCAAGTTCCAACAGAACTGATCTGGAAGGTCTTTTCTTGGTTGCAAATCCTATAGTTAAACCCAAAGGGATCTTTCCTGTTTTCACTATCATTTACTCAGTGCATGGCTAGCAAAGCTAGCAAATGCACGATGTTAAATTCACCAGAAGGAAGGACTCACTCACTAAGTTGCAATGTTTCCCTCCTCTCACTTACAGTGATGAATGCTACAGTCCGGCGGCTGGACCAGATCATCAATATATTTGCTCCCCTTTCTGTGGGCCAGGTGATGACATGGGCATCTCATGTGATCGGTTGTGGTTTCATTCTCGGATGGAACTTGGTTTCACTTCTTGTAGAGTTTCTATTTCTGTCCAGGGTTTATCAACTAGTTCCCCAATTGGCTGTTAAACCCCAGCAACACACAGGGGGGAACTTCCTAGAAAGGCAACAGGAGGCTGTGAACATTCAAGGTAATGTAAACTCAGAGAGAGCTCTTGTTCTTTTTTCTCCTTTATGTCAGTGTTCATTTCTGCTTTCCAGAACTTGTGTCTGAGCATAATCTCAACACTTTGTCTGCAAATGTGCCTAGAAACAGTGATAAATGAGAAGGCTCCAGCTATGCCATTGGTCATGCAGTTCATATGGCTGATCTTAATGGTGGGGGCAGGCGGGGTTGCCTTGTACAGTTACACAGGTTGTGTACTGCATAACTCCAGGGGCTCCATTAAGAAAGACTCCAATGTAAGTAGCACTGCCATGGGATTGTGCAGTATACAACCTGCACAACCTATCCCACAGTCCTGGGGGCAAATTACTCCTTCCTGTCTCACTTATAAACAGCCTCCCTAAAGAGTCTACATTAGAGAGACAACTGTATCAAGAAGTATGAGCTGCTCTTTGGTCAAGACAATGCAATGAATTGGTCATCCGTATTATAAACAGTGTTTTTCTTTTTTTAAAAAATCAGAAATTCCCTAATAGTACAGTGAGGATAAAAGGAAAGAGGACCTGCCAATAGACATGACCTTATTCTCCTAAACAAAGAGTCATCCCTGCCTATTGACAACACTGCCCATCTGCTTGATACAACACAGTCCAGGAATTGCTTCAGATCAGTTTCTCTTTCTGGAATTCTTATAATCAATTCTCTTTTCTATCAAGTTGTTTTGTAGTTAAAGTCCACCATATCTCATGGAGTAAATAAAATGCATATATTTGTAGAGAGGGTAAATAGATACATATACATATTTAGACGATGAATGGATAGACGGAGTGAGCTATATCCTTCCCATCTGCCACTTATTACCTTTGTGTCCTTGTTAGGTTAATTTAGTCATATGCTCTCTGTCACTATCTGTTAAGACAAAAACAGAACTGATTTCATAGGGCTGTAAGGGAGAACTGATTTCATGAGGCTGTCCATAAACAATAAGATAGTTTATGGAAAGTGCTATTTTACTATCTAGCATATAGCAAAACTTACTTCAATGTTAGGTATTTTTTCCATCGTTGTTGTTATTGCTATCTTTTTTTTAACTATTCTGTCAAAAAATTCATTTCTGTAATTAAGAGCATCGTACTTCCCATAGTATGACACTCTGAATTAATAGCTGGTCTAGAATGGACTGGCCCACCTGCCCTCTCTCCTTCCTCCAGAGCCTTATTTGACTTCTCTAGTTCTGAGTAGAACTAGTCTTAATTCGTGCTAAACACCTCTCACAAGTGGCTATATACATTTTCAATCTGTTTCTAGTCATTGTCTGTTCTATCCTGGAAGACTGAAAGGTATTTGCCATATTTTTTCATAAATATCTGTTTCTTCAAAAAAATAACCAGAGGAAATATCTATCACTCTTTCCCAGGAGCTCATGGCCAAGTTTCAAGCACGTGACATTTTGTCTTGTACCCTCCTCTGTGACCTCCTCTTTTCAATGCCACCTTCCTGGCTTAACTATGTGTCTTAGTTTGGGTTCTTTCAAGAGCAATCCTTGCGACAAGGGTTTGGGGTAAAAACTAATGTATTGGGAAGGTGATCCCAGGAAGCATGGTGAGGGACTGGGAAGTGAGGCAGGAAGAGAGAAAAGCCCATAAAGGGTGTGTTAATATAAGTGTCACCACTGGGGGCAGTTGGGCTCAGTCCTGCTGAGGACCATCTGAGAGACTGTAGGACAAGCCTAGAACTGTTCCACCAAGGTCCAAGGGAACTGGGGTGTCCGTCCACCAACTCTCGGCACTCATGGGGTGGGAGTTGTTTGCAGGGCACCAACAGCCTGTGCCTTGTGTTCCTGTGGCTGGAGAGAGCTCTTTAGGCCAAGGGACACAGGCGCGTGGAGTAGGAAGCCACCAGTGAACACAGGAATTGTCCAACAAAGAAGCAGATGAGGTTGGGGATGGGATGAGGGGAGATGGGCAGGGCACTAACTTTAAGCTTATCTGGATTTTATTTCAGGGCAAATGGACTCTTGGGAAACCACAGATGGATTCACCTACAAGCCCAGAACTTTGGAAAAGCCAAAGGACCACAAGTCTAGACTTAAAGGACAACAGGCCACAACCACAGGGTTTCCTCTTGGCCTTCGAAAGCTGCGGAGGCTGCTCCGCACGTGCCGTGAGGGGTGGGAAGCCTACCGCAGGCAGACCGTCTTCCTGGCTGGCTTGGGCCTGGCCTTTCTCTACATGACAGTCCTGGGCTTCGACTGCATCACCACTGGCTTCGCCTACACGCAAGGCATCGGAGGCTCCCTGCTTAGCATCCTCACGGCCCTTTCGGCTCTCTCTGGCCTGATGGGCACAATTCTCTTCACCTGGCTCCGGGGCCGCTACGGCTTGGTCACGACCGGCGTCATATCCAGCTGGCTCCACTTAGGCTGTCTAATGCTCTGCGTGTTTTCTGTCTTCGCTCCTGGAAGTCCTTTTGATCTGGCTTTTGTCTCACTTCACTTAAGCAAAAATTCATCTTCAAACCATGAGTTGCTGAAGGAGGACCAGGTGCATGTTTATCCCTTCGAAAGGAACCTGAACCAACCCATCCTCCCAGACCGTTCCTCCATCCACTGGACCAACAGCACGGTTCTGTTTGACGGTCAGCAGCGCCCCGAGCCCCCCGAATCTTACATCTCCATCATCTTGCTCTTCTCGGGAGTGATCCTGGCACGAATTGGTGAGCAGTGGGTCAGTCCTGGCGTGGGATTCTGCAGCTTGCGATGTTGCTAGGTAACCTTGGACGCATTTGTTGGTCTCGTCACTGTGCCATTGTAAATCTTCCTCATTCACACATCGAGAACCTATTATGTGACAAGAACTGTCCTAGACAGTGGGGATGTGAGAGTCATTTGATCTGACAAGGTCCTAGCTTCGTGGAGCTTACAGTCTGAGCAGGAGACCGATAAGTAAGTCGTTGACAATATAGCGATAAGAGCTGTGTTAGGGCAGGACGAAGGATTGGGAACACACGGGAGGGACACCAAATCTGGTCTTGAGGGTTGGGGAAGCCTTCCTAGAGGAAGGCACAATTAAGAGATCCCTGGAGGGCAAGCAGGTGACATGGAGAGGAAAGAGTGCTCCAGGCAAGGCAGCCAGTGGAGCCAAGGCAAAGCAGAAAGGTGAAAACATGGAGATTTGAGGAGGTGAAGACAGCTATTTAGGAGGTGAAGACAGCTATTTTGGCCTGGATCTGGGATGTGGATCTGGGATGAGGACAGAAGAAAGATGGCAGCTGTGGGGTTGGGGGTGGGGCTTTCCTTAGCTGCCTGGGGAAGGGCAATGCAATCCTTCCCTGACTTCAGGGTGCCTAACCTTGAGGGTCTATATGCTTGTATTCCCCAAATACCTGGTCTCTGAACTCTGTCATCAACTATATGTCATTCATTATTATTATTATTATTATTTTTTTTTTTTTTTTTGAGAAAGAGTCTTGCTCTGTTACTGGGCTAGAGTGCCGTGGCGTCAGCCTAGCTCACAGCAACCTCAAACTCCTGGGCTCAAGTGTTCCTCCTGCCTCAGCCTCCTGAGTAGCTGGGACTACAGGCACGTGCCACCATGCCCGGCTAATTTTTCTATTTTCACTGGAGATGGGGTCTCGGTCTTGCTCAGGCTGGTCTCGACCTCCTGACCTTAAGCAGTCCTCCTACCTCAGCCACCGGAGTGCTACGATTATAGGCATGAGCCACCATGACCACCTAGCTATGTCATTCATACCTGGCAGTGATGAGATGTCTGATTTGGTTAGGGTGTTTATTAAAACAATTTTTTTAAAAAAAATTGGTCATTTGATGCCTGATGACTCCAACAGTGACATGTTGGGGATCAATGATGATGCTGACAGCAACCACCTAACAGCACTCTGGCCTCAATGATTAGCCCTGCAGAGTCTCAGCCCGGGAAGAGATCAGGCCGTGCTCTTTGACATGGAATCCCCAGGATCAGGTCTCCACTCAGAGAACATCATTTCTTTGTCTAGCCCTCCTCCCTCCCCTCCAAATCCAAAGTCACCACCTCCAAAGCCCCTCCCTGAGGGCACAGCTCAGAGCAAAAGGATTCCCCACCCCCAGGTCAGACACAGGAAGGGGAGTGGACATTGTGGTGGTTTGGAATGTGTAGATCAAAAACCAAGCGTGTCCTCCCAATTCACTCAACAACCCTTCCCACGCGCCTCCCCTGTGTCCCTCAACCTCCTGGGACTCAGGCTTCAGCTTCTCCTCTCTGAGCCCACAGTGAGGTGGGGCCACACGGCTGGGGATACATGTTCCTGATTCGTGCCCTGGAGACCCAGAGCCCTTTGGTCTACAGAAGCTTTGGCATATTTGGAGAGAGGAAATGAGAGGGTTGTCGCCTGGATTAAAGAGGTTACAAATGTGCTAGCCTGGGAACCACATTCCTCTGATGTAATGAGTATGCATGAGAAAGAAACTGTCTTCCTAATTCCAAATAACTGGTTTAGAACCCTGTTCTTTCATCGAGAGATTACCACCTCTAAAATATTTTAAATGAGGGAGCTAGTGGGTGGTTTGACTTGCCGTCCTAGCCATTTTATTTTTTTTTTATTTTGTTTTTGAGACAGAGTCTCACTCTGTTGCCCAGGCTAGAGTGCCATGGCATCAGCCTAGCTCACAGCAACCTCAAAGTCTTGGGCTCAAGTGATGCGATGCTCCCGCCTCAGCCTCCCAGGTAGCTGGGACTACAGGCATGTGCCACCATGCCCGGCTAATTTTTTATATATATTTTTATTTGACCAATGAATTTTCTTTCTGTTTTTAGTAGAGACGGGGTCTCGCTCTTGCCCAGGCTGGTCTTGAACTCCTGAGCTAAAGCAATCCTCCTGCCTCGGCCTCTCAAAGTGCTAGGATTACAAGCATGAGCCACCGCGCCCGGCCCCCACTCCTACCTTTAATTGCACAAACAACTGAGAGAAGACTGACCATTTAAGATTTATACAATTCACATTGTATTAAAATAAAGTATTTAGTGCAAAAGGGAATAAAAAAAGTCCACCAGCAACTCCTATCTACCAGGATAACTTGGTTCTTCCCGACACAGAGGAAAGATCCCGTTCGGAAAACACAGAAACCCATCAGCAATGCCTGCAATCTGAAAAAGCGTTCACAGCCTTTCCTCCATCGTGTTATAATAACAGTCGTTTTTGCTGTGTCTTGAATGAGGATTCCAGGGACACAGAGCACCCTTGACACTGGTGAGGGAGACAGCTCAGGGCCCGGAGCCAGGCTACCTGCTGATGTTGGCAAGTTACCTAAGGTCCCCGTGTCACAGTGTCCTTATCTGTACGACGGGATAATAGTAACAGTAGCTGCCTATCCAGGGCGTCCTGAGCGTGCACTGAAATAATCCCCGTAGGCAGCATGTTTAGCACAACGCTTTCCTCTCGCCTTCAGTCCTCATTGTGATTATTATATTTTAGCTGCAACTCTCACAAGCGCTGCTGTGCGAGGGGTGGGTGTGGGGTGGGCAGAGAGACAGAGAGAACCGCAGTGTTGAATGGTGAAGCGGACGCTTCTAGACGCCTCACGCCCAGTGCCAGCACGTAGCATTTACATTTATTCCTGGCAGGGTGACAAATGACCTTGGGCTCGGTGGTGAGGGGTTGCAACTGCAGGCATTAAAAACACCAGTGACCAAAAGGATGTATTTATGTCTTTGTCAACACAGTCTGGCCAGGTGGCTGTGATGACTGGTCATCTCCTTGGGTGGTGTGGCCTGTGGCCTGTGGCCTGCCTTGGTATCCAACATGTAGCACCAACCACAGGGCTCATCCTAGGTATTTGCCCAGTAAATACCTGTTTCCACCCTGGTGGGAACTGAGTTACAGAACTCTGGCTACAACAAGATGTGGCACATTGCTTACAATTCATTTTGCTTCTTAAAATCTCAGAACTGTACCTCTGTGCCCTCAATTCAGAGATAATTTTCAGTGCATAACTAGCTCAGAATTCTTTGAGCATTTCACATGGTACAACTGCACTGCAGTATTTTACAAATACTTCCTAACTTTGTAAGCACCACTTGCTAAGGGCCAGGTGTGGGGATTTTACAGGTGAGCTCTGAGTCAGAGCCCGGTGTGGAACAAGGTCCTTGGCAGGCCAAGCTCTGAGAGACTTAAAGGCCATCAGGGTGGTCAGGACAGCTCGGGAGGGTGGTGGACCTGGTCAGGACCCCCATGTGGGGGCCACGGCTGGGTGGCTAGCCCAGGAGGACAGAGGGCCTGGCTGGTGCTCTGCATGGGCAGACACTGCGGGTCACAACACATTATCTCCAAGTCATTCTTGAGTCCACAGCTGAATCCAGGGATCAGGACAGAGGCAACCTGGAGGCCTTCGCAGGGCCGGAGCTGGACCCCAGGGAGCATCTAGAAGCCCAGCTGGCTGGGAAATCAGCCAGGCCGGCAGAAGCTGAGCAGGCCGGGCACAGTGGCTCACCCCTGTAATCCTAGCACTCTGGGGAGCCGAGGCAGGTGGATTGCTCCAGGTCAGGAGTTCAAAACCAGCCTGAGCAAGAGTGAGACCCCATCTCTACTAAAAATAGAAAGAAATTAATTGGCCAACTAAAAATATATACAAAAAATTAGCCGGGCATGGTGGTGCATGCCTGTAGTCCCAGCTACTCGGGAGGCTGAGGCAGGAGGATCGCTTGATCCCAGGAGTTGGAGGTTGCTGTGAGCTAGGCTGACGCCATGGCACTCTAGCCCGGGCAACACAGTGAGACTCTGTCTCACAAAATAAAATAAAATAAAGAAGAAGCTGGGAGCAGGTCCCCATGGGGGCAGGCACGAACACCCCTGTGGAGATGCTGTCATGGGAGAGCAACACTGTCATCTCCACAGCTGGCTTCTGCTCTAATGCTGTCTGCACAGCAGGGCCTGCAGCTGCTTCTGAAGTGTAACCAGACGCAGCCTCTGTGTGTGGTTCAACGTAGGGGGGGCCTGGGAAATGAGGCCAATTCTTCCTTTGCTGAACCAGGAGGGAGAAAGGAAAATCTAGAATTGGAACTAGGTTTGAAGCACAAGTCTCTGCTTTCTGTCCTGAACATTTTCGCAGGGAAGTGAAGGTATAAATAAATACGTCCAAAATGAAGTTACAGTGCATATAGGGAAGTTATAGTGATGATAATGGTGATAATGGTGATTGAAAAGGATAAATATGATACCACGAATGACGACAGAAACTACCACGCACAGACGGCCAGGCACAGCGCCACACGGCTCACAATATCATCTCACAGAATTCCCCAGAGACAGTGCCTGCAATATTCCCATTTCGCAGATGAGGAAACTGAGCGATGGAAAGTTTTGTTCGCCCACGGCGACAGTGCTAGTCAATGGCAGAGCAGATTTCCCACCAATGTCCTCTGACATCTGTTTGCTTTCTTTGCCCCCTACATGGCTGCCCCGCAGGCCTCTGGTCCTTTGACCTCACCGTGACCCAGCTTCTCCAGGAGAACATTCCAGAAGTGGAGCGAGGGGCTGTGAACGGCGTGCAGTGCTCCCTGAACTACCTCATGGACCTCATCCACTTCGTTCTCGTCATGCTGGCCCCGTGGCCGCAGCAGTTTGGCGTGCTGGTCTTCATCTCCATACCTTTTGTGACCACAGGGCACATGCTGTATTTTTTTTATGCAAGAAAGTGTAAGATTAAAAACGCCCATGCTTAGAAGACAATGAAGAAAGGCACCTGGACGCCTTTAACCTGAGAGGTGAGCAGCGCCTCCGGCTTCCCAGAGCTCTAGGAACACCGGCCCCATCTCACACTGACTGTTTCCAGGTGCCCACCTTGTGCTCATTGCCACCTGGGAGAGCAATTATGTCACCAACTTTTGCTGGCAGCATCCACTGCGTTAAGTGGCAGTGGGGCTAGCCAGAGTTTGAAGGGGTCTGACTCATGGCGCACCCATTAATTAAAGTCCGAGATTCCACCCCAGACAAGATGAAGGGGCTTGTTTTAATTTTGCCAATATAATAACTCAGTGTTTCAGGGTTTTTATTGTTCTTTGGGTTCTAAAATTAGAATATTCTGGTCAGTGTTAAAATTAGATCAGGCTGGTGGGGCATGCTATTTGGATTCAATCCTTTGAGTGTGGGGTTTTTGTTCCTCTGCTAGTTTTTGAATGTTCTTTTGATGAGCTAAGTGTCTCTAACGAGCACTGAAGCTATTTGCTGGAGAAACAGATCATGATCCAACCTTTGTGTGGTGTGTGGACTCTGGGCCAGGCCAGAAATCTGGCAGTCTCACCGCTGCCTTGGCCCAGCTTCGCCTCAGTGATCAAGCTGAGACCAGGTCTGGTTAAGAGGACCACAGGTCTGTGATGAGTACATTGTGAGTTTCTGGTCATGCCTGTAATCTTAGCACTTTGAGAGGCTGAGCTGGGAGGATCACTTGAGGCTTCGAGTTCAAGACCAGCCTGAGCAACATAGTGAGACCCTGTCTCTACAAAAAGTTAAAAAAGTTAACCGGGTATAGTGGCGCATGCCTCTAGTCCCAACTACTTGGGAGGCTGAGGGAGGATCACTTGAGTCCAGGACTTTGAGGTTGCAGTGAGCTATGATGATGCCACTGCATTCTGTAGCCTGGGCAACAGAGCAAGACCCTGTTTGAAAAAAGAAAAATGAGAGAGAGGAGAAAAAAAAATCAATGCTAGCTTTTTGAGGAGGCTAGAAGAAAATCTATATACCTCTTGCTTAAAAGAATGAATTATGGCCGGGTGCGGTGGCTCATGCCTGTAATCCTAGCACTCTGGGTGGCCGAGGCAGGGGGATTGCTGGAGGTCAGGAGTTCGAAACCAGCCTGAGCAAGAGCGAGACCTCATCTCTACTATAAAATTAAAGATACATCTCCCCAAGCACTAAAAAAAAAAAAAAGAAAAAAAAGAAATTAATTGCCACTAATATATATAGAAAAAATGAGCCAGGCATGGCGGTACATGCCTGTAGTCCAGCTACTTGAGGCTGAGGAGCAGGATTGTTTGAGCCAGGAGTTTGAGGTTGCTGTGAGCCAGGCTACGCCACGGCACTCACTCTAGCCTGGGCAACAAAGCGAGACTCTGTCTCAAAAAAAAAAAAAAAAGAATGAATTACTATGCTGTAGAATCATGGTGTAAAAAGACAAAAAAAAAAAAGAATATGGAATTAATGCTTTATAAATGTCACGATCTATAAGTTTCACTTAGAATTGAAAATGATGATGATAGCTTCCTTGGGCCTCAGAGAACTTTTTTGTATGTAGGAAAGTCACATTTTGGGAATAACCTGTAGCAAACTCAGTTGCACCTTACAGGGTGAACGTTGGGGGATGGGAATGACATCTTCTAAGATAGCATCTCTCCACCTCTATACTATGGACATTTGGAATTGTCATCCTTTGCTATATCGGCTGTCCTGTGCACTGCAGGATATTGCGCCACATGTCTGGCCTTTACCTACTAGATGCTGGTAGCACCACACATAAACTACCCAGTTTTGACAATCAAAAGTGTCTCTGGATGACCAAAATATCTCTGAGGTGGCCAAATTTGCCCCCCTGCATCCCAACACCAAGAACTACTTAAGAGAAATGGGAAAACTAAGGGAAGAATTCAGTTATTGTTAAAAACAAAAAGACAAAAAGCCATTGTTAGTAGCAAGAAAAATCCAAAAGAGGATTTTACACAGACCTCCTTTTTAGAGCAAAACAGTTAAGTAAAAACAAGGGAAGAGGGAGAAGATTTAATGGAACATTTTGCTTAACGTAATTTTTAAAGAGAGTACTTTATACAAATTCTGGTGATATTTATGGTACCATCTCCCACAACAACTCCCCTTCCATAAAAAAAACACCTGAAAGACACTGCTATACACACACCCCCAAACCAAACCTTCCTATAGATAAGGAAACCAGAACTATTCTCCATAGGGATTCTTCAGAAGGAATTTTGTTTTTCTTTTGAGACAGAGTCTCACTCTGTTGCCCAGGCTAGAGTGAGTGCTGTGGCATCAGCCTAGCTCACAGCAACCTCAAACTCCGGGCTCAAGCAATCCTGCTGCCTCAGCCTCCCGAGTAGCTGGGACTACAGGCATGTGCCACCATGCCTGGCTAATGTTTTCTATATTTTTTTTAATTGGCTAATTATTTTCTTTCTATTTTTTTTAGTAGAGATAGGGTCTCACTCTTGCTCAGGCTGGTTTCCAATGCCTGACCTTGAGTGATCCATCCACCTTGGCCTCCCAGAGTGCTAGGATTACAGGCCTGAGCCACCGTGCCCGGCCTGGTAGTCGTATTTTGATGAGACATAGCATACAAAGTCCTTTCACCCTTGATTATTTTAATGAACATGCAAATGCTTGCACAGAGTAGGTACAGACAGAAAAGTGTTTAATAAATACATTCTAAGGTCTTTATTTAAAATGTTCAGGCCGGGTGTGATGGCGCACACTTGTAATCCTAGCATTCTTGGAGGCCAAGGCGGGTGGATTGCTCAAGGTCAGGAGTTTGAAACCAGCCTGAGTAAGAGGGAGACGCTGTGTCTACTAAAAAATAGAAAGAAATTAGCTGAACAACTAAAAACAGAGAAAAAATTAGCTGAGCATGGTGGCACATGCCTGTAGTCCCAGCCACTTGGGAGGCTGAGGCAGGAGGATTGCTTGAGCCCAGGAGTTTGAGGTTGCTGTGAGCTAGGCTGACACCATGGCACTCTAGCCCTAGTCTCACAGAGTGAGTGAGACTCTGTCTCAAAAAAAAAAAAAAAAAAAAGTTCAGATGTATTAGCAGCTTGAGTATAGAATCTTCTAAGTAATAATAGCTATCTACCCCACACCTTCTGCCCTTGAAAAAAACATAGCTACTTTCCTATAATTTGTGCATCTTAAGTGCTAATTTTACTCTTCTTTTTCCTCAAGGTCCTATATAGTAGAAGAGCGACGTTTCTCTCGCTCTCAGGTTGTGGAGCCACTATTTGCATATTTCCATGATTATTTTGATCATCATATTTTAACCAGTGCCGTCCGGTGGAAATATAATGCAAATCACACACCGTTTTAGGAATTTATTTCATTTAACCCAGTATGTTCAAAATATCATTTTACTTCTAATCAATATAAAATTGAGGTATTTTATATTTTCTCAAATTAATTCCTCACACCTGATGTTTTTCACCCCTACAGCATGTCAGTTTGGACTAGTACTGATAGCCTAGTGGTTAGTGGCTACCACATTGGAGTGAAGTTTTAAACTCTGATTCCCAAATTTCCACATATTTCCCGACAGTGAGAAACCTATAAATGATACAACAGGCTTCAGCCCTAAAGAGCGGGGTTGACACGCTAGGGCAGTTGTCCGGCTGGAAAAATCAATGGTATTAGACAACATTCTGCCGTTCCCAGAAACAAAAGCAAGGTGACATACATTACACTGATTTGACTGGATTTTATCTCTGTGTCTCTGAAACAGACCGGTGTGGAGTTGTCCTTGTGGAAATGCAGATGGAAGTGGAGGAGGGCTCCTCAAGACCATTGGCCCCTGAGATACAGATGAACTCCACTAGGGGGTCTTGGTGGCATAATCCCAGATTGCGAGTCATCACGATTTTATATTAAAGACAAAACACTGGAATCAGAAATTTTCAGTTGATGAATACAAGGTAAATTTTGAAAAGGCAATTGTTATGAGTTATAAAATAATAAGCCTTTCAAACACATCTCTGGCTGATTATCTGTTCACACAACCTGAGCATGGTTTTCCTGGGTTAACCCTGGCTTTGGCCAGGCAACCAGCTGGGAGGGCCTGGCCTCACAGGTCACCAGGTCAACTGACCCCCCTGCTCCAGAGCCAAATGCATCAATCCCCACTTTCTCTAGGCTCCCATTTAGTTATCCAGATACCTTCCATTCTACTCTTCCTTCAAACTACATACCTGAGATCATGAAGGGAACAAAGGGCGACCTCACTTGAGTTTGGGGAGCCTAGTATGCAAATTACTACTCGCCTCCTCCGTTTTGAAGCTCTGTGCAACTGCCAAGTTGCTAATTGGCATGGCCAGTTGGCTCTTTGCATTTAGGAAGAGCCAAATTGGCCAGACCCTATAGCATGAGACCTGATGGCTCAGTTTTTATTCTTGCTGTCATCTCGCTGAACTTTTATTCCTTATTCTAATTATTGCAGGTTGATATTTGTTTATAGACCACCTCAAATTATTTTGGGAATGTGGTGATGTTACCATGTATAAAGAGACATGATAGTCTCTTCACAGCTTGTTCTAACAATTGAATTTTTCAGATATTGACCCAAACACTAAGAGAAATTATTCCTTACAACAGAAGTGCACGGTCTAACCAGCTCCTTCTTACATATTGAAATGAATAAATCACACTGTGCAGGCTCGATAAAGTTAGGAATTATCTCTATCACAGGACTTAACATATGGCAGGTCAGTAAATAGTTGCCAAATTATATCATTAAATATTTAAGGCTTTAGGACCCTCAAAATTACAAATACTTTATTTAGTCTGACATACTCACTTAAACAAGATTTGCTTACTTGTAAGAAAAAAATCTACTTGTACTCAAGCACTTACGAACACTGTAGAGTTCTTTAGACAAAATGGGCTTGAAATCAAATTATGTATGACTCAATCTACCTAAACTGATACAACAGTGGCACCATTGTTATACTGGGCAAGTTCCATCACTATCTGGGGAGGTTAGTATCATTAGCATAAAAACTATATTCAAATCACAATTTCTTTTATAGTCATAATTAAAGATTCTCTTCATGCCCAAGTTCCTCCCTTGGAATTAGTAAGTTCCACTTTGAAAACATTTCATTCAACTCCAGGTTTGTTTCACTCCCCTTCAGGGCACATGAGCACAAAGGAGTGGTCTGGTAGTGTAAGTCATGTTGGCATCTTTCCGTTCCTGCTTTAGCTGTGCTGAACATGCAGGCTTGCACTGAAGCAAGGAGGGAGTTGATTCTGCAGAACTCACCCCATTTTCTTTGGTGATGCTAGACTTCTTAACCAAGGCACTGTTTTGGATAAATTCTGTTATCACTAGGGCATAGGGAAGGGGATTTGGTGATGAGGGGAGCAGTAAGGAGTCATTAAAACCTGGAACCTTAAGGGGACATATCTGAAGGGCTTTGTTTGCCCATACAGGCAAGATGGTACAACTCAGCCCATGTCAGAAGTACTTTGGTCACCAGGGTAGGGCTCAACAGGCCCTTTGTTTAGACCAATCACCTACAGGAAATAACAATGCCTCCTCAATACTTGAACCTATCCCTCCATTCAGAAGCATCCTTGAATCTTCCAAGGAAAAACCTTCATAGGCTGGCTTTCAGTCAATCATGTGGTTTACACAGCATCATGTTTTGAGCTCAACCCACAACTACTCAGCATCTAACCTCATTTTTCTAATTTCCTGGCTAGCTAGTATCTGCCAAGGACATCCTCAAGTTTCTTGGGATGGAAAATAGCCAATATGGAAAGCAAGGCTGCAACAAATCCACAGGAGCATTAACAGAGCAATGGTTAATAGAATTTCCACACCCCATTCCCTCGTGGCCACTAGAATGGACTATGAAAAAACTGAGGGGAAAGTGCCATACTACAGATGAGATTTAAAGTGCAGCTATTAAGTATGAGACTTGACAAATGCATAGTCCTTCCACAATCAAGACGTAGAACAGGCGCAGAAAAATCTGTAGTATATGAAATACACAAACTACCCAGAAGCTACCAAAAAATACACGCACACAAACTAAGTTTTTAAAAGTGAGATACTTTAATCTTAGGTAGAATTAAGCCCACCATTGCCATATATATTCAACAGTAATTATTTATGACTATCCTATAAAACATATTTTCAGAATAATCAAAAGAATGGGACTCAAAAAATGACTTTTATAAGTTAAAGCACAGTTCATAAAGTAGTCTTAGTTGTGAAATAGATCATCTAGTTAGAATTACTATGTTCTAAAACTCCCACTTTCAGAACTAGACTTAGTCATATCTTTGTAGAGCACATGAACCAGGATTAAGGACTTGCTCTTTGGCGTTAGCACTGTATCAAGTTTCAGACCAGGGCTAGTAGATAGAAAAACTACTTTAAATAATGGAATTGAATTCTACAGAAATTCACTATGGGGCCAACTCAGCTACAGGGCAGAGGCACAGAATTCTCAGATAAATTCTCCTATAGATAATTGGGACTATCTCAAAATTCACCCCTGCTACCATCCTGAAAAGGGACAAAAAAGCAAAAACCTCTAGTCTGAATATATCAATGGTCACATACTCAAACTCTCCTTATCCACTTGAAAAACAGATTCTTTGAGGCACCAGACCTGTAAAAGAAATATCACAATATGTATTAAGTAACAAAAACCAGCAGTGTCTAAATTGTTTACAAAAACTGGGCAAATAAGTAAATAGAATCCCCCACTGCACTGCCAAATTTTTGCTCAAAATACTGTCTTTTTCTTGGCTGAATGAAGAAGTATCATCCATTTACTAGCTTTTTTCTCTTTTTAGCTGGAGCATAATTTTTTAAATGGGGTGATGTGATTCCATTTAGTAAATTCCTGCATATCAACTTGGCCTCAGGTAAATCCTTTAACCCATCAGAGCAGAATTCAATCAGATTAGAGTTCTCATCCTTGGCCAAGAAGTCTATTCAACTATTAAGAACTGTAGCCAGAGTCTTTCCATTTTGGTGCATACCTTAAGTTCATCAACAACTTGAACTCCACTGAACCTGGTTAAAAAAAAAAAAAAAAAAAAAAAGCGACATGAACAATGGTGAGAGTGTCATGCCCTAACTTTTTGTTTTAAAAAACAGCATGGCCTTTATATTGTGGCCATCTACTAGCTACCTTTCATGAATAAAATGCTACCTTTGAATAGAATTTCTGTACAAAGTTGTTTTCTCCAAATTTCCCGACACTAGCATATCCTATTTTCCAGCTAGAAGTAAAATGGAGTGAACTAAGCTCACAGACCATGGGAATCTATTATGTCCCCAGTCACCATCTTTCTGGCATTGCCTGTTACATCAAGCTGGAATAGTATCCATTTTAGAGAAGAAACATCATCAGCAACAGTATTTACCTAGGAAAACTGGAAACAAATCTTTCATAGATTTAAAAACCAAAGGAAGCCCCAAACTTGTTTACTCTGGGGCTGAGTCCAGCTGGCGCAGACATTAGTTTCTGGGCCTGGGCTCTTGTTCAGCTTCCACAATCCTTAAATAGACACTAGCAGAGGTGTCTCTCACAGATCAAACGGAATAGTTAAAACAATTTGGATCAACAGGAATCCCCAACACCTAAAACAATGGTCCCACAAAGCCACTGCGTTTCCCTGTGGTGTAGGGGTACTCACCAGAGATCAAGGTCTTCAGGGCAGGGGAAATTGTCCCTGTGTTTTGGGGCCATATATTTAATTGAAAAAAAGGTGCTTAGAATGCAGGATGCATCAGCACATTTTTTTTCCTCTTTAAAAGCACGGTAATGTCTACGTCCCATTTGGTTTGCAAACCATTAAAAAGGCAGTAACGATGTTTCACAACGGAGGAAGACCTGCCGACCACAAGCCTCACATTTCGACACAAAACTATTAAATGGTATCTGTGATGGCCACAAAGATTCCTTCCTTCCTTCCCACCTAAATTTAGATTTTTACTAACTTTACTAAGTTCGGAGAACATCGTTTTACACAGCAATTTGTGCCAGTAACAAGCAGCGAGAATGCTCAGTAATGCTCTCGGGAGCTGGGCGCGCCCACGCACACCCCAGAACCACTTCGCGGACAGAAGTTGGGCACTCAATCAGTGCCTGGTCCAAGTCAGAACCCGTGGTTCAGACTTTTTCCCAGGACGGGCCTCACACCCTGAAAATGCTGGGGGCTGGCCCTGCGCTGCAGTAAGGCGCCGCCCGCCGCTGCAAAGGTAGATCTGGGGGAGACAAGTGCAGGACCTCAGGAAGGCTCGCGGCACTTTGCTCGCCTCCCAGTAGTCGTCGTTTCCCGCAAGACCCTAACCCTCAGACTTTAAAAAAAAAAAAAAAAATCCAGTGGTGCAAAGTGACAACTGAATGACATTTGTAGCCGAGTAGTGGCTGCGTGGGCGAAATTACGCCCGCTTGTTGCTAACACTGTCACCACACTGCTCGGCTCCCTGATCTCATTCGCTTCCTAAATAGGAGTTTCTGGGCTGGCGGGAGCCCGAGTGCGCCAAGGACCCGGAGACTGTCCCGGGCTCTGCGCTCGCCCCCGGGGTGGAGTCTCATTCTCGAAACGGGATCCTTTGACTTAAAAGGGGCTAGAAGCTACAGGGGACAGGATCCCTTGATGGCAGGGCCACAGCACAAGGAGGGGACGGGCGCCTGGTGGCTTCTGGCTGAGCGGGGCTTGGGGAGGTGGGATCCCTGGGACAGGGGGAGTCGCCCCGAAGGCGCCACAAGGGCACTGCGGGGGGGGGGAGGGCCCAGGCACCACGAGACGTCTCCACCCACAGGGCCGTAGCAGAAGCTCTCCGAGGGCGCCGAGCTGAGTCCGACTCCTGTCCCGCCGCCTGGTCTGGCGCGCCCAGGGGCGCCGAGGGCGCGCCCAGGCAGGGCCCAGAGCGACCCGAAGCCATGTGGCGGCTCCCGAGTCCAGCGTGCCGGAGCCACTTACCAAAGTCGCGCGCCGCGGCGGAAAGGGGAAGGCGCCTGAGAGATCAAGTTTAAAGAGTCTGGGCCGTCAGCACGCGGGCAGCAACCAAAAATCGCCCAAGCGCCCCTCCCGCCCCGGCTCCCGCCCCGCAGCGCCCAGAGGCCCTCGCGCGCCCCCTGCCAGCTGCAAGGACGGGCCTGCCCCGTCCTGTCCTCCTCGGCCCTGTATCCCCTCCCGCCCTTACCCTGTCCTGCCGGGTGCCTGGAAATCC